GTTCCTGTCACTTAAAACTGCATTGCTGCTAGCGCTAGCATCAGTTAAGAGAGTGAGTGACCTGACCGCCCTTTCAGTGGCTCCCGCATGCCTCAGGATCCGGGAAGATGGCGGGTCTGCTGTTTTATGCCCCAATCCAGCCTTTGTGCCCAAAAGCATTAATGCTTCCTTCAAATCCAGGTCAATTTCATTGGCTGGACTTTTTCCTCCTCCCCATAATTCTGAGGAGGATGCGGCTTCTCACCTTCTCTGCCCGGTGCGCGCGCTTGTACGGTATGTGTCACGCACTTCGGAGATTCGTCGTTCACAAAATCTGTTAGTGCACTACAGGGAGTCTTCCCTTGGTCAGGCGCTGACGGCCCAGCGTCTTTCGCACTGGCTGTGTGAAGCCATTTCCCTCGCTTACACGTCATCGGGGCAGGATTCCCCTGAGGCACTCAGGGCTCACTCAGCCAGGGGGATTTCCTCTTCGATGGCGCTCCATAGTGGTGTGTCGATGGAAGACATTTGTCAGCCTGCTTCATGGGCTTCATCCTGTTCCTTACTCGTTATTATTTACGAGATGTGTCTTCAGGTTCCATCACTCGTTCAGTGCTTGGACCCCAGCAGGCTGAATGAATGCTTATGGCACCTCATTGGCCTTGCTGAGATGGATTTCATCCTCTCGTGGATGATGTTTTTTTTTAGTGGGGGCCCCTCTCTTATCGTGGCTGCCTCAGTCTTTAAGCCTGGTCTGAGGCTGAACCTCCCTCACTAAAGGAGATTGATTGGGTGTGTCCATTGGTTGTGTTAACCAGTGTGGCGTAAACCCATCCAGCTGCGCTTTATTCCAATAGCAGCTCGCTTAAGGGCTAAGACTAGACGAAATAGAACGTTGGTTACGTATTGTAACCCCAGATTCTATGAGTCTAGTCGCAGCCCTTAAGCCACTTGGCCCCACTGGTTATGATGGAATAAGAGCCATTGGAGGCGAGCAGTGGGGTCACTGCGGTTATATACCACGAGGGGGCCCACTATTGGTGGGCGTACATTTAAGCTCTTCATGATTGGCTGATGCGGAGATCATCCTTCCAATAGCAGCTCGCTTAAGGGCTGCGACTAGACTCATAGAATCTGGGGTTACAATACGTAACCAACGATCTCTGGGCTCTGTGATAATTTCCTGAACGTTGTCAGCGGTCACCGCCTGAACTTAAGTCCGGGGTTTGATGTGAAGCCCTGTCACAATCACGTTGTTCCGTTGTGTGTATTGCTCCAACTGTGCCACCTTGTTCTCCAGCTCCACCAGACGCCGGTGTCGGTACCAGATCGGCTCAGGGTCCTGCGTCCGCAAATTACGTCACAGTAGATGATTGGCTGAATGTAAGACTTACTGAAATTACGATACCATGCTCATAAAAGTTACGTTAGCACGTTGGCAATGATGATTTTCATTGGTCAGAACAAATTTACGGTTGTAGTCTTAGCGGTTGTAGTCCTGTAGTCCAAAAATCAACACTTTTAGGAGAAAATATGTATGAATTTTCTAAATAAATGTAAAGTTAAAGCAAAGATATCAACTGATAAACGGTGACCCAGGACCTCAAAAACTCTTGATTTTGATTAAATGGGGCAAAATAAAATATAGGAACTTCACTGAAAAGGCGGCAAGTAACATTTTGAATGAATGGCTGAATGTATTTACATAACAACTAGGGAAATATACAGACAAATTCCACAATAATACAAACAAATATAATAACTGTTGTGATTTTTGGTAGTCTGATGTTGCTTTTATGTAGATTCACATTCTTTACAAAACAAAGATAAAATGATGTTTTATGAAAAAATTACAGTTATAAAGAAAACATTCAGGTGGTAACAAACAAGAATTTATTGGCAAAACTGCTGATGTCTTTCCAAAGCTTAAGTGTGAAAGCCGAGTGGATTTGCCGGAATGTGACGTCATCAGCAGGCGCAGGACCCCAAGCTAATCTGGTGCCGACACCGATTTTTTTTGGCGTTCTGAAGTCGGAGAGCCTTGACTTCCTCCACCAGCTCTAATATGGCTGCAGCAGAAATCTCCTCAGACATGAAACCCAACCATCCTCTCCGTCCTCTGCTGTTAACATCTTCTTTGGGCCCATTTTTAACAGAAGTTTTCATCCGTTTTTCCCTTCAACCGCCACACACCGAAGGGCTGAATTGTATCGCATAAATAAATACCGTAAATCCTCTAATACAGGCCCGGGCCTGTATTTGACTCAAGCTCATCAAGCTCCAGGCCTTTATTGGAAGGAGGACCAGAATTAAAGGCAGACCTCAATTTCTATTTGAGCAAAATGAACTAATGGTTCGCTGGAGTTTTTGACAATTAAAATTGCGCCCACATTTTCAAAGTTAAACACATTTCTTTTAACAACGGTAGTTTCTGCTTCAGCCCTCTCCCCCCTCCCCCTGAGCAGCGGCCGCAAACTCACTGATGCGCCTGCAGCCTCTCAGAGTTCCTGCCGCTCTAAACATTAAAATAATTATTTCATTTTCTGTTCCTCACTTCTGATTACCTTCAATGGTGTCTGTTTGTTGCAACCACCAGGTACAAAAACTAACTTGTTTTTATTTGACTATTTTTCTGTCCTGCCTGTTTATTATCTTCCTGCATCTCCTCTCAATCCTAAAGAAAAACTGCTACCTGGGTTCATATATATTCACCTTATGAGTTACCTTTGAACTGCAGTTCTAAAAGATCTACCGACCGCTAAAACAGCGGAGTGCTCGCCGGCCGCATCAGTGAGGTGCGTCACCGGAGGACAAAACAGGTGATGCGCCCTGATCCACAGCAGCGAAACGCATCAGGCACAAATAAAAGAATAAAAGACAGAAAACATAAAAGGAAATGAGCCGACATGAACGATCGAGTGTTAAATTAGTTTTTGAGGTGGCGACACCTGATTTGATAATGTTACTGTGGCCGTGCTCAGGACGCAGATGTCTGGAGCGCGTCAACGATCAGAGCTTTGCATGCGCAAGCTGGTTAAGGTTAGGATGGGGTGAGGGGAAAGTTAAATTGCCAGAGGGTAAATGTCACAATTTGGTTAAATGTCCATTTTACGGCGGGTGTCAGTACCGACGCTCTGGCACAGCGCGTTGCCTCCCAACACGCAGGAGCTTGTCACCTGCTGCAGGCTGCTGTGTTTTCCGTGGACTGCATCTTGCCGGTCATTATCACGTGACAGCAACTAGTCGATGACGGGCATAAAAAGTCACTATAGAGCGGTGAAGTCAACTAGTGACTAGTTCATACAACCCCTACTGCTCCCCAGAGTGTTCTGCAGCATAATCAGCACATCCGCTTTGAACTTGATATCAAATTTTCGCCTCCTCTTCGTCTCCGCATGGTTAAAGTTACCCTCGAGGCAAAATGCACCGAACATCCGGTCACAGAGTTTATCTATAGAGAGAGAGAGAGAGAGAGAGTGTGTGTGTGGGAAGTCAAGAATGTGTGTGTGCATGTGTGTGTGGCTTGTGTGGGTGTGTCTGAATGAGTGAGCATGATCAAAGAGGCATAAAGCAATACATTTACATTCAGTTGACTGAGTCAATGAACAAAAATTAATAAACATCAATTTGTCCATAACACACATGTAATGCTTTTTCTCCTTTGTCACATAACCGGTTCAGCTGCTGTCTTCCTGAGAGCTTGGCTAGCCCCACCTCACCTCTCAGGGCTGACTGACTAGTTCCCTTCTCACCTAGTCACAACTGTTCATTTGCTGACTGCTTCTTTGTCCATTCCTGAAGAAAATAGTGATCAATTTAGTCATTTTTTGCCTTAAACCAAGATTTATTTTCTTTCTTTCTTTCTTTGCTTGTTTATTTGTCTGCAAAAGTATATGTGTGATGAAAAAAAATATTTAATCAACAAAATAAAAAGGGGTCTAGTAGAACAACGAGTTACACACAATCAGAGCAAATATTCACTGCCTTTCTAGCAGGGGTGAGAAAGTTCCCGGCCACAGGAAGAGGATGAATACCAGAGAGTCGTGGAAGCTCCCTGCCCGGATGGGTAGGATCGTTTGCCTGACAGAGACCAGGATGTCCCCCTTAGTGAACTGATAGTAATTTGTTTAAGTCTGTAAAATAAAAGTATCCTGAGTTTAAAGTGGTGGTCTCTGAGAAATGAATCAGTGTGTGTGTTTACGGGCTGTTTTACAGGTGTCCAGCAGAACCCTAAATCCCCACACGGCCAGTGTGGACAACCCTTTAATGCTTGATAGACTGGCATACATGGCTTAGAAGGGAAAACATTTTGTACATCCGTGGTCATGGCATCCAGGTCATGGCACAGCCATATTTTTAACTCAGTGTGTCGTTTCAGACGGGATCTTTCCGTGAGCGGATGGAGGGGCTACTGAGAAATGTCAAAAAATAAAATAAACCACATTTGGCATGTTGCTTCAGCAAGCAGGCAATCATAGTGCAAGTTTCTAGCTCAGTGGTTCCCAAACTTTTATCCTTGAGGACTCCCACCCCTAACGTCCTACATTATCACACAAGTTAAATGTGATCATTTACAAATGGCATAAAGATATACAGAGTTCTAACTTTTATATAGTGTTTGGAATATACTCTAAGGTGTGTTATTACTTTATAAATGTAATTTTCACTAATAAAATCTTGGTAACCCTACAACTTCAGCACAGACAAAAGTGTGGGGACCCCTTGCGAAAATGTGGGAACCCCCGTGGGGGGACCGCTGCCCTAGCCGAATGCAACATGAAGGGGGAGGAGCCTCAAGCCTGCTGTTGGCTGTCAATCACTTTTACCCGCCCACAACTTTAAACTCAGGGTTATAATTTGAGTCTGATACAAAAATAAATAAACAACTTGAAAGTGTAAAAAACGCATTTGAAAGTGAACACAGTTCAATTTAAAAACATAAAATCTGAAACTAAATAAATACATACAAGAAAATGATTTTAAAAACAAAAATGAATAAAAAATATATTTCAAGCAGAAACAAAATGCGGTTAGCTTCTTATTTTGGGGTACGGTTTTCGTTTCTCAAACTAAAAGTTCAAAGCTTTTATTTCTTCAGTTTCAAACTTCCTGTTTTATTTTTCCAACCATCTGGCATTCTTTGGGCTCCATACCGCCGCAGCCTTAACTCCACTCCGAACCGAACCGAGTCGGAGTTTCTCCGATCAACTGGATACGTGTTGGGTTGTGACCGGTTGGTATCGGTACCGGACCGGTTGGGTTTTTACTCCTAACTGGTCGGTTCCGCTCAGAAATGCTGATAGCGCAAACTTAGACGGATGTTTTCATCAGTTGTTCCCGTCAGCAGCCGAACCTTATCGGAACCTCCTCAATCAGAAGCAGGTAGGAAGGCTTCTCTCTAGCGTGTTTTAATCCGGTTCCTTTCAGTAAGCTGCTCGGGTCCAACCGTTACCGAACCGAACCTTTGGTCTGTTGGGTCCAAACACCAACGACTGGAGCGGCACGTGACGCCATGGAAGCTCCTTCTGTTTGATCTTTAAGTGGTTCTGATCCGGACGTTTCCTCAGAACCCAGCAGTAGAAGTTCTAGTTCCCCTCCGGAACCAGAGCGTTACCCAACGTGCGTGAAAGCAGAAGTGGTTCTGATTGTCCAACATCTGAGGAAATCTGTCCAGCAGCTGAGACAGCTAGGTCTCGGAGCCTGGAGGTTCAGGTTTGTTCTGAAGCTGACCCGGGTCTGTCCTCCTCAGCGGGTCTTGTCCTGCAGCCATGGCTCGGTACCTGAGACACTTCACCACCGTGGGAGACAAGCATGTGTCTCACTGGGTGGACGAGGAGCATGAGGATTTGGTGGACCGGGGTCCGGCCATGGATCAGAACCTACCCCCCCTCAGCTTCAGGGACCAGCTGAAGAGACTCTACGGCTCCGAACGGTTCCAGGTAGGAATGCACCCATGCCGAGTAGTACCGATACTGATACATGTCATGACTGTCACCAGGACTGAAGGTTTTGTTCTGTTTGTCAACGAGAGGAAAGAAAAACTAACTAAAGTCACTAAAATCAACCTTCAAATATGAGACGTGAGTTTATGAAAGCCCTGGACAAGAAGGTATGAACACAAGACAAAAACAGTTACTGGTTGTATTAGAGCTGATGATGGACCAATTAGAGGTGGACTGATGTCAGGTTTTCTACCGCCGATACCGACGTGTGGCGGTTATGGTCAGCCGATATCTGAGTGTTGAATTATCACTAATAACAAGAGTGGACGCAGAACTTTTAAACACTGGATTTAACTGTTGAATCTTCATTTTGTGCACTGCTCAGTCTTAAAAGCAAACATTTACCAAGGTTAATAAAAATATCAATAAAATCACCAAATATTAAATGTAGAAAGAAAGAAACAAATCTTTTATAAAGCACCTCTCAATATAAAAACCACAAGGCACTTCACAAGAACAAAATATTTCAAATAGAAAAAATAATTTTTTAAAATTTTAATATATGGTTAAAAGGAGAAGGAAAAAATGTCGTTGTCGTCGTCTTCCTCCGCTTATCCGGGTCCAGGTCGCGGGGGCAGCATCCCAACTAGGCAGCTCCAGACCGTCCTCTCCTCGGCCACCTCCACCAGCTCCTCCGGCAGGACCACAAGGCGTTCCCGGACCAGATTGGAGATGTACTGTAACCTCTCCAACGTGTCCTGGGTCGACCCGGGAGCCTCCTGCCGGCAGGACATGTCCGAAACACCTCCCCGGGGCTTAGCAATGTTTCTGAGATGGAAGAAGGAAGAGCGGACAAGATAACTGACATGAGAATCCAGGGTGAGAGCTGGGTCAAAGGTCATGCCAAGATTCCTGACGGAAGGTTTGGTGTGAGAAGCAAGCTTACCAAGAGAGTCTCTGACTTTGGGAACCAGCTTGTCTGGGGCACAGATGAGGATCTTCAGCTGAAGAAAGCTCCCAGCTAAACAGACGTTACTATTTTAGTAGAGCATTTATCTACAACTCGGTCCGTCATAATTATAATAAATATTAGAGAAACATTAGAATGATCACACATACCTATTGAGAATAAATGTGCACCCAGACTACTCACTAGTGTTACTGACTGCTGATGTTGGACAGGTTTAATGTGGACACTTGTCAGGACATGTCTCAGCAGGTCACACGTTACACTGTAAACAGAAAGAGCAGTTTAGGGCTTCATGTAGCGACCATTTGCTGTGTTTTTCTACTCACTGTGTTGTCCAAATGAAAACTGCTGAATCAAACGACAACACTACTTTAAAAAGTTCCTAACGCTAAAGCAAAACATCAGCGTCTGTGGAAGAGCAGCTGCAGCTCCTGTCTTCTCTTCCCCTCCCCTCACACACAGTGATAACTCCCATACAGGAAAAGTAATGTAATATATACAGTTGGAGCTTGGATTTTAAAGTGGTATGGGCCATTCCCATCTGTACCGGGTCGGCCCGGGCCGGGTAGCCCCAGTCGGCCCCAGCCTGGCCCGGTTGATTCCTCACATCCTTGTCTTAAGCCCATGTGGGCTGATTCTACCCACCAGTCAGAGGCTTGCTCTAATGGAAGGTGTGAATTTGCTGTCAGCAGTGGGTGTGTTGGCCCTGGTCGGCCTGAAGCAGACCCCCTCGAGAAGAGGGCTGAGAACGAGCCTTGGTTGGCCCGGAAAAATACCAGGCCACCCAGATATGTAAACAACCTACGCTACCCGGCCCGGGCCGACCCGATACAGATGGGAATGGCCCGTCACCCCTGCCTATAGTCTTACTCTGCTCACACTTTGTTTAAAAATGTGCCAGAAGGAGGCGTCACCTGGCGCCACCCCAATGTATACGCCCCTCTCTCTGAGTTACTCCATCAGGAAAACGAGCCGTTAACGAACACACACACACACACACACACACACACACACACACACACAGACGCAACATTTTATATATTACTTTTGATACGCACTAAATATACAGTTGTTGGATTTTGAAATATCAGAGAAGCCTTACTTTTTACTCCAAGGAAAATACTTCCAAAGTCTGGGATTGGGGTCTTTCACATTCAGCTGCAGCCCTAGGCTGCCTGTGGATGTGCCTGACTATATATCGGCTCTACTGAGTCCCAATTCCAATACTCGCACTGCGCCCTACGCCCTTCTGTGGAGTGCACTCTGAGCAGGTGCTCAGTAAGGGTCGTGATATTCTTGCTGTTTAACGACACAAACATGCTTAAAATGGCTGCCACACGTTACTTGCGTTGATTTTGAAACGTCGTTTGTGCGCCTCCGAAATTAACACAATGCATTCAAACACTGCAATATACGAGTAATCAGTAGGCGGAGTTAACAGAACGAGCGAGACGCAATCGCTATGGTAACTCCGTCTCTGGTTTAGAGCTCTTTCACACCATCTACGATGCCGCTGCTGTCTTTTTTCTGTCGTGCTCTCAAAATTTAACCAGTTACTCAGAGCTCTTTTATTGACACCATAACAGCTGTAAGTATGTGGTCTCTTTAAGACGGCCAAAGTCGTCTTGTTACGATGTCACCAGTATGCGCCACTATCCCCCCGCTCTTGCAAAACATGGGAGAAGCGTGCTGCGGTTGGACGCTTGGACTGAACTTTCTTTCCCTCACTCGAGTAACGTTACGGGTCGTATAAACACTGCTTGTTGCAGGTATGGCGAGATAGCAGCCGTTCAACCGGGCATTATATGGTTGTTAAGAGTGTGTGTTTATTAAAGGACAGACTTTGTGGGATTCCCCAGAGTCTGAGTGGTTGAGACATCACTGGTGGTTTAGCTCGTCTAATAAGACTGTGGGCTTTCGTGCAGAAGACCCGGGTTCGATTCTGGATGTGACATAGTTGTTTTAGAGTTTATTTTTTACATTAATGGTATATTTTTTTCCAGTAAGATGCCCAAATTTTTATTTGAGACTCGCCGAACGGCATTGAATTCACAGATAAAAAAAGATGTGGGTTCAACTTTCATTTTGGAACAATTTTTCAAGCAAGGGAAGGGAATGATCTGAGCTTGTAGGAGGACTGACCCATCTTAAACCTTTGTCGGCTGTGCTGAAGAGAAAGGTGGTCGTCGTCGTCTTCCTCTGCTTGTCCGGGTCGCGGGGGCAGCATCCCAACTAGGGAGCTCCAGACCGTCCTCTCCCCGGCCTTCTCCACCAGCTCCTCCGGCAGGACCCCAAGGTGTTCCCGGACCAGATTGGAGATGTAACCTCTCCAACGTGTCCTGGGTCGACCCGGGGGCCTCCTGCCGGCAGGACATGCCCGAAACACCTCCCCAGGGAGGCGTCCAGGAGGCCTCTTGACCAGATGCCCAAACCACCTCAACTGGCTCCTTTCGATCCGGAGGAGCAGCGGTTCTACTCCGAGTCCCTCCCGAATGTCCGAGCTCCTCACCCTATCTCTAAGGCTGAGCCCGGCCACCCTACGGAGGAAACTCATTTCGGCCGCTTGTATCCGCGATCTCGTTCTTTCGGTCATTACCCAAAGCTCATGACCATAGGTGAGGATTGGGACGTAGATCGACCGGTAAATCGAGAGCCTGGCTTTCTGGCTCAGCTCCCTCTTCACCACGACAGATCGGCTCAGCGTCCGCATCACTGCAGACGCTGAACCAATCCGCCTGTCGATCTTCCGATCCCTCCTACCCTCACTCGTGAACAAGACCCCGAGATACTTAAACCCCTCCACTTGAGGTAGGACCTCTCCCCCAACCCGGAGTTGGCAAGCCACCCTTTTCCGGACGAGAACCATGGTCTCAGATTTGGAGGTGCTGATCCTCATCCCAGCCGCTTCACACTCGGCCGCGAACCTACCCAGCAAGAGCTGAAGGTCAGAGCTGGATGAAGCTAGGAGGACCACATCATCCGCAAAAAGCAGAGAAGAGATTCTCCTGCCACCAAACTCGACACACTCCACCCCACGGCCGTGCCTAGAAATTTTGTCCATAAAGGTAATGAACAGAACCGGTGACAAAGGGCAGCCCTGGCGGAGTCCAACCCTCACTGGGAACAGGTCAGACATACTACCGGCTATGCGGACCAAACTCATGCTCCTCTGGTAAAGGGACTGAATGGCCCTTAACAGAAAGCCACCCACCCCATACTCCTGGAGCGTCCCCCACAGGGTGCCCCTGGCGACACGGTCACAAGCCTTCTCCAAATCCACAAAACACATGTGAATTGGTTGGGCAAACTCCCATGCCCCCTCCATCACCCTTGCAAGGGTATAGAGCTGGTCCACAGTTCCACAGCCAGGACGAAAACCACATTGCTCCTCCTCTATCTGAGATTCAACTATCGATCGAACCCTCCTCTCCAGTACCTTGGAGTAGACCTTTCCATGGAGGCTGAGGAGTGTGATCCCCCTATAGTTGGAACACACCCTCAGGTCACCCTTCTTAAAGATGGGGACCACCACCCCGGTCTGCCACTCCCTAGGAACTGTCCCCGATGACCACGCAAGTTGCAGAGACGTGTCAACCATGACAGCCCTACAACATCCATAGCCTTGAGATACCCAGGACGAACCTCAGAACCAAATTATTTAATTAATTAGCTGCGCGTTCTCCTGTCCTCTGTCCTCCGGGCCACACACACACACACACACACACACACACACACACACACACACACACACACACACACACACACACACACAAGGGACTGTCTCAGCTGTTATTTTCGTTGAGTGTGCACGTACAGCATGCGCGCCTCGTGCACGAGCCTACTATTGAAGCTGCCGTTACGCATTTGGCCTGAGGGGGCAATCGCAAGCATAAAAATTCAAAACTCTCTAAAGTCCCTTTAAATAAAGGTTTAGTTGTTGCATTTTAAAGGGTGTACTTGCATTAGTATGATATATTAATTTTACATAAGTGGTTTTGGTCTCGTTAATGTCAACAATATTTTTTATTGTCAATAATGTGTTGGACATTATAACATCCAGTAAAATGTGTTATCGTCCCAGGCCTATTAGTAACGTAACGTCTGTAAGTTGTACATCCAGCCAATCATTTGGCACCCCGAGCAGATCTGGTACGTACACTGGTAGTTACTATGTAGAATAGAATAGACTTTATTAATCCCACAGTGGAAATAAAAATTTGCGCAAAAAATCCCTAACTGTGTTAAGTTAAACAAAATGCAAACAATGGAAGTTTATCCCGTGCTGTCTGATGATTTTACTAAGTAGAAGCTTGTGTATAGTAAAAAGAATTGGTCCAAGCACCGAACCCTGTGGTACTCCATAAGTAATCCTAGTGTATGAAGAATAATTCTCATTTACCTAAATAAACTGAAATCTGTCAGACAATTTGAATTTTACCTACAACATGCTGAAGCCTTTCTAAGAGAATATTGTGATCATTTGTGTCAAAAGCAGCACTGAAGTCTAAAAAGACCAGAACAGAGTGAAGCTCTGTCACCTCTGGTTCTCAGTCTGGACCAATAGGGAGTGATTGGTGGACTTCCAGGTTCTCGCTGGAGCGCATCAGTCCAGGGTTGGTTCTGACAGATACCTGTCAGGTCAGAAGGTCGAAAATCTACGAAGCAAGTTCTTCTGAGTTGCCAGATGTGAACTTCAGCAGTACGATCCGCCATCCGCTCCCAATCCAGCTACTGCACTCCATTTGTAACTGTGTAGAGACAACTCTTAGTACAGGAACAGAAAGACCATTCATTTGCATCAATCCAGTAGAAAGACACATAATAGAACTTGAGTTTTTTCATCACTGGGTTTAACCAGAACTCCATGTAGTCTAAAGCAGCATGGAGACACCTGGCAACAATACAATACAAACTCCACACAAACATCATCCTGTGTCTGAGGGTTCCCGTCCTCCTGAGCTCATGAATGTGGAGATCCTCACCAGTGAAACCAGAGCAGTTTTAAGTGGTGGTGTGAGTTACAAGCAGACACTTTGTGTGGTCCTCTAAACCTTGGACAGTGGGTCTAGATGTATCCGTATCTCTACTGCTGGAGGAATATCTCCCTCTGCTGCTGCATCCAGGTGCTGGTGGTCTGTTTGGTGATCCTGGATGCTTTCTTCGTCCTGGCTGAGCTGCTGATAGATCTTTCTGTCGTTAAACTAGAGCACGGCCATGTTGCTCCTCAGGTGAGACGGTGTCCAACTCCAACAGAAATCTGTGACATGTCTCCTCAGTGAGATCTTCCTTTGGTGTGTATTTTGTAGGTGTTCCACTACCTGAGCCTGGCCCTTCTCACCTTCTTCATGGTGGAGCTGGCTGGGAAGATATTTGCATTCCGTTTGGAGTTCATCCATCACAAGTTTGAGGTGTTTGATGGTCTGGTGGTGGTGGTGTCCTTTGTGCTGGACATAGTCTTCATCTTCCATGAGGATGCCTTTAGTGGGTTTAATCTCCTCATCCTGTTGCGGCTCTGGAGAGTGGCTCGGATCATCAACGGTTGGTCAGACTCAAGCAGACACAGCCAGGGACTTGCACTAAGCAGTCGGGAGACTGTTCAGTTTCTTGAAAGTTACATTTCTATTTACTTTTCCTGCAAAAGAGAGTTCCAACTAATACTTTAACTGAAAATGTTACAAAAATAACCCAAACTCAAGATGCTAGACTCTCTGCCTTACATACACAACTCATAGGCTAGACTGGCTTTGACACATAAGAAACAACAAAGGCCCAATCCCAGTACTCGCACTGCACCCTGCGGTCTTCAGCGAAGTGCACTTGGAGAAAGGGTGCAGTAAGGCTTTGAGTGCGTGGTACACAAGTGTGAAAATAATTGCCAAATTGAGACGGGGAGTATTGCGTAATGGATCACAATGCATGCCGGGATGCTGCTCGCTGTGATACTTTTTTAAACTTTAAAGCCCCAGTGTGTAATATTTTTACCCGTTTACTGTAAATCCTGTGTTTCCAGTTCACAAACGTGTCCTTTTCACTAATATTTCTCACCAACACCAATTCTAAATATTCCTCTCAACATGAAATTATACATTTTTATATACATAAACTGTGGTCGAGGCTCCATGGTCATCCACCATCTTAAAATACAGTAGCTGTTTAGGGACATACAAGCTCCATGCTACCCGTTTGGACTATGACTGTAACCTGACAGAACCAGCAGAGGGCAGCAGTGCACCCTGGAAGCATGAAGTCTGCTAATTCAACTAAGAAATAGAAAAGAATAGCTACACCGTTGCTGTACTTGTTAGTTTGAATAAAAAACTATTAAATCAAAAGACACAAAATTTGTCAGTTCGTCATCGTGTCCAACACAAGGAAGCCGCACATGTTCAGACCTCCGCCCGCTATTAGCTGGACGCCAGCCTCCGATTGGTGTCTCTGACTCCCACACTCAGCTCACGTTGTTCATCCGTCTTTTCCTAGTACCAGAACTCCCAATCCGGTCCCAACGTGTCAGTTCCAAAGTCCTCCTCAAGTCTCCTCTCTTACTGCAGCCTGCCGTCTCTCCCAACACGCTCCAACTCATCCGCTAGCCAGTGGCTAAACCAGCGTTGTTTACTTTATCCCCACAACTCTACTAATGACGATGTAGTTCTCCACGCGTTACTGAGACGCTTCGACTCAAGAGAGCTTAATCTCAAACGTTACCTTTAGGTTTGGGTCTCCTTTTGCTGGTAATCCGTGGGAGTTTACACACAGCATACCCCGGCTCTAGCCATGGCTAACAAGTAGCTTGTGACGTCCATCTCCACCACGCCAGCCATGAGCCACGATTAGCTGGTGGAGGAGTTAACATTATTTACTTGATCTCCATAGCATGTCCCCGGCTCACAAACACTCCTTCACCAGCCGTGGCTAACGAGCAGCCAGTGATCGCTCCATAGATTGCAGCGGCTGCCAGTTTTACACCGAGGCACTGTGAGCCGCGTGAAACGGGTGTTGTGGGAAATTATGTTCCTCTGAAATATTCGGTTTCAATTAGGCAGTCAAGAGCAAATATTTCCAAATCCACAGAACTTATTGTCTATGATGAGGACTAAACTACCTCAAATAAAAGATGTTAAACTGAATGAGATTACATCTTTTTACATAACTTTCAAAAATGATAAATAAGCTTGCTGCAAAAGAGAGAACAAGAATGTTTTTTACTGTATCTTTTCTATTGTTTATAGGAGGAAATACAGATAAAAATCACAAGCACAACATTATTAAATTACATCATTTTACCGTAAAAATTGATCACAAATGTTGTGAAAACAGCCAGAAGTGCGATCTCCCGACACGGTGGACAGAATATTTCAGGGGAACACAATTTCTCACAACACCTGACTTCCCGGCTGACGTCACCCCTCCTCCGTGTGTGAATGGTGACAGCTTCAAGAACCGAACTAGCTTGCTTCCTTTAGAACTGGTAGGTTGATAAACAGTCATAATTATAAATGCTTTTTTAAAGAGGTCGAGTAGCTTGTTTTAAGCTATGTGTGGGTTAGGTTACACGAATGAGCCACCGTAGCTGCAAAACTTTCTCTAAACTGCACGGCGTTAAAGAGTCGCATTTTTTCATCATGATTTCAACGGATTTCACACACGGGCCTTTAACAACTTTCAAACAAACAATTATGTGAAATAATTTTACATGCATTGCTTTGTTTAAAAGTTTTAGAGCAGGAAATAATTGTACTAAAATTCACTACTTTCATTAGAAAACACATATTTTCAAAAAATGATCTTGAGCCTGTTCTCCCACAGCAACGAGTTGTGAGTAAAACACTCCACCCAAGACCGTAACAATGCAGACATGGGTGGAGTGTGGATCAAGGGTGCAAAAGAGGCGTGATCAACTTCCGCACTTAAGGAACAGAACACCCTACGCACTCGCACCCCTGGTCGGGATAGCGCAATTGAAGGGTACAAGTATGTAAGTGCGAGTATTGGGATTGAGCCTATAACAGTGGCTGATCCGACCACTGTCACACAGGAAGGTATGGAAACATCAAATAACACAGAAACTGTACCTAGCAAACATTAATCAGTCTAATATGTTTGGGTAACTCCCATGTTGCCATCAAAACATTCCATAATTACTGAATAAACAGTAATCTCTTTTCTCTTGAGAGTTGGCATGACCCAATGGACTAGGCCACCTAAGGAGATCTGCTACAGCTGGGCTCTGGGTGATGCTTAAGCAGCAACTCCAAAGCCACTGGTAACTCAAAGGAAAAGAGATTAAATCACTGCCAACACAACTAGACAGACACCAGAGTATGCCAAGGCAATGGTTTCCAACCCTGGTCCTTAAGGCATGTTTTCCATGTTGCCCTTTTAAACATCAGTGTTTCCCTGCTGCCACACACCTGACATAAATGAATGAGTGATTAACAGGCATCTGGAGCACTTGATGTCCTCTTGAGGAGCCAGTGTTAATCAGGTGTGCAGAAGCAGAGACGGAAAACATTCAGGTCTGGTCGCCCTGGGGGCCAGGGTTGGGAAACACTGCACTAAGGTTTGTCAATTGGACAAATGATTGAACCATTGGTGATTGGTCAAGCCCTTCGCTGACCCACAGAACATCTCACCATTTTCTGCACAAATATATCACCCATCATCATTTCTTGGACTGAAGAATGTCACTTGGAAAAGTTTTGTATATCATCTAAACTTAATGTGTGCACAGCTTAGACCACAGTCCACAGACTGAAAAGACCAACAATCAAATGTACACATTATCAGCCAGCCGTTCTCCTGAGGTGTGACAGCAGTCTAACACACACACACACACACACACACGGACACGGACACGGACACACACACACACACACACACACACACACACACACACACACACACACACACACACAGAGGTAGTGGTTCCAGCTGTGACCCTGTTTGAACCTGCTGCAGGTATCCTGGTGTCGGTGAAGACCCGTGCAGACCACAAGGTCCACAAGCTGAAGGAGAGCTACGACCATCTGGTGGAGAGAGCCACGGAGCTGCAGAGGCAAAACGATGAACTGGTGGGTGTTTGGTCTGAAAGGTGTAGATCCCAGAGGCCTCATTTATCAACCATCAGTGTAGGGAGTAACATAGGGCTGGGCGATATGGCAAAAATAGAATATCACGATTTTTCCAATATTTTTTCACGATTTCGATTTTATCACGATTTTTTATCCATGAATAGCATAACTTCAATTGCGTATTAAAGAAGAGAAACATTGAATAAACAAACATTTATTCATATTAGGGATAATCAGCACAGTGCTAACACACTTATATTTTAAACTCACACCAGGGATGATAAAAGCCCTGAGAGAAACAATTACAAAAATCAGTTTTTCTCGTTTTTCAAGTAACTTAACATAAATTAAAATCGTAAACATATTTACAGTGCAAACATGTCAATTGCAAACGTATTGTGCAAACATTAACTTGTTCAAAATACTATGCAGCTCCCAGTTGCTCATGTAGTGGATAGTTAAGCTCAAATACGGCTCTGATGTGCGGCTGGACCAGAGATCGCTTGTGGTAGCAAAAAACTGCACATTCTGAATATTTTCTGCAACAAGTCTCTAAATAAAGTAAAATTTTCCAGTGCAGATTGGAGACAACCCATAGAAGCACTGATTTGATCTCATTTCAGAGAATAGAACAGGTTAGATGCACCTAATAAATAAAATTACTAACAAACTCAGGAATGTTTCTTTGCTTCACTGTTCTGGTGCTGAAAATATCACTAATGCGGATCAAAGGAGATACACAGATTCATTATTTGGAGACTACATTCACTGCAGCTGGCAGAGATTGTTTCTATTGACACACGGAGTTTACAGAATCATTTTAAATGTTAATAGGGGAAGACTGCAGGAGGGAGCGGTAAAATACAGGGCTCCCCAACAAAAACAAGAAACTACGAGTCTGATGAAACCCGCTGGTTTTCCATCAGGCAGTCACGGGGCAGCTCCAACGACCCAGTGACCGAGCTCAGTCCGGTACCGACACCGGCTCGGCAGAGGGTGAACGAGCCGAGGCGACGTCGTGCTCTGCTTAAGAAGCGGTGTTATTTTCCTGCTTCAGAAGAAGCGTCCAACGTGTTTTTACGCTTTCTCCGAGACATGTCACGTCACTAAGTTGTTAGCGCCGCGCGCTAAGGAAACCCTGCGTTCCTCTTCGGAACGAAAACCTCGTTGTCGCTCAGCCGCGGCGAAGCCATGTTTGTTCACACACAAATGAAAACAAGCGGGGCACTAATATATTACTCACTCTGATTGGTTAAGGATCAAACAAAGGCGTGTCATTCGCCTGGGTTAAGTTCCCTTTTCATTCAGAGGCAGAAATTCAACAGCAGAGCTGTGAATCGTGATAAAACGGTCTCTCAAAAATGACAGACCGTCAGATGTGTAGATCGTAAAACGGTCTAAAATCGTCATATCGCCCAGCCCTAGAGTAACACAGTACAAAGTAATTAATTACTGTAATGTGGTAATGTAAGGCATTACAGGGAAAGAAACTGGTCATATTTACTCGGTACAATTGTCAGTAACGCGGTAATTACAATGCATTGTTTAACCCAGAATCAAGATGTGGGTTTCTTAAAAATTCTATTTGTGGGAAGCCCGAAAAAAGATCCAGTATCCACATATATGACGTCATTTACGGACTCAGCTTTGCGGGCATTCTATTAGCAGAGAGGACGCAGCAGTAACGGCTCAAATACCCCAGCTGTGTGTCGTGTGCACAACCGCTGTAACATTCACAAAATCGCTGCACTAAAACAAAATAATCCACCTGCGATCGTTCATATCAGCCCATTTTCTCTGGTACTTTCTGTACTTTACTGACGTGCTTTGCCTCAGCTGAGTTCATTATCTGTGCCCCGGTGATTTCAACTCATTGCTGCTGGAGCGCAGGGCATATTAACATCCCTTTGGCTGATTAGTTAGAAAGTAGGAAGTCTAGGAAACAGTTTTTCTGGAAGACGGAGAAAAGATGCAGCATGCAGGAAGATTAGAGAAAGAAAGGGCCGGAAATTATTCAAATTTAATCAAGAAAACAAAACTAAGTGCTTGAAAAAATCAAAAGTAGGTAGATTTATCCCCAATACACATTTTAACCAGTGAAAGAAATAATATATACACATTTTATATTTATACATGTGATAGAATCAGATCACCCTCAGAAGTCAGTCCCACATCCAGGGCCGTATCAAGGCATTTGGGGACCACAGCTAAATTCAAAATTCAAAGATACTTTATTCATCCCAGAGGGAAATTAGAAGGATTGAATGAGCGGACTGACAGGAGATCCATCTGGAGCTGTGATGGGATTTGGGACTCTTTGTGGAGCGACATACACCAAACAAAAATATAAACGTTTTGTTTTTGCTCCCATTTTTCTTGAGCTGAACTCAAACATCTGAAACTTGTTTCCCCTAGAAATGTTTCCAGCCGTATTTCGAGCGGGGTTTAAACCGTTTTGGTGCAGTCCTGAGATATTCATATATATATATATATATATATATATATATATATGTGTGTGTATATATATATATATATATATATATATATATATGTGTGTGTATATATGTGTGTGTATATATATATATATATATATATACATATATATATATATATATACATATATATATACATATATATATATATATGTATATATATATATGTATTTAATATTTACAATTTTTAGATGTTTGAGTTCAGCTCATGAAAAATGGGAACAAAAACAAGTGTTTATATTTTTGTTCGGTGTATAAATTGCACAAATGTGACTCTTGACTTTATTCCTGACGGGAACCTCTCCTCTCCCGATCGCGTTTATAACCTCTGCAACTTGTTTGATTCCTTTACACTTAAGGCAGCCAGTGTCTCAATCTCACAAGTTTTCTTTAACACTGGGAATCCCATGCTGAGGACATAGCATGACCAAAAAAGGTTAATTGAGGGCGTTTCTGTATGCAAATGACTGAGACTCGAGTACCTGGGTATCATCAGATGAGTGCGGAGGAGCATGCGTACGAGAAGCCACTGCATGTTTCATAAATCAGGATTTTGACCGTTCGTATGAACACTCGCCATTTTGTTCTTATGAAGGAATATAGAAATATTTTTACGAACGTTTGATGGATGAGGCCCCAGAACCAGATCCAGAGCCCTGCTGTCTCTGAGCTACATGCCGGTTTAATCCACAGGTGACACAGAACTGGTTCTGAGGGACAAGATGCAGCAGGACTAGGGTGGTGTCTCTGAGCTTATGGTTTCAGCAACCCTGAGTATCTTCATTCCCAGTTAGAAAGGCATCTTCAATGGAACCCCGATACCAAGAGTCACCATGGTAACCAAACAGACCATGTTCTGCTGGAGCAAGAGTTATCTGGTCATGTAGGTAGACCAGAACCAGTTTGCTCACCTTAAGCCTGGTTCATGCTTCTCCGTCAGCTCCGCAAGGGACAGACACGCACGGATTGACGGAATCGTTTTGCTCTCATACTTCTCCGTCTCCTGGAGAGTGTTGCAAAGCAATTCCCCGGCAGGACAGCAGAGGGCGTAGCGCTGTTCTGTGGTATCCTGTCATGTCTCGGTCCAAGATAGTGTGTTTATATTGTGTTTTTTGTATATAAGAGACTTTTTAACACGGACAAATATGTCTCATTCTCCTCCACCTCTTCATGCGCTCACCACCTCTAAACCCACGTTTCCTGTCATTTCCGTCCACAAATAAAACGCTTGCTGCGCATCTTTTCACTCCTCCAGTCACGGGGAATTAAAAGTTCATATTTTTAGTTTTTCGCGAGGTATTCTTCAAGCTGCTCCGTGTCTGCCACTAGTTATCCATGGCTCTCTGTTTTTGAGGGCGCAATGGCGGCGGTGTAGACCAGTGGTTCCTAACCTGGGGGTCCCGACCCCCACAAGGGGGCGCCAAAGCCTCTCAGTGGGTCGCCAGGACCTCTCCACTTTAAGGGGTTAAAACTTCATTTATTACTTGTTTATAGCCTACATTTTGCTCACACTTTTTTTCATGAGTGAAAAGTTTACTGATATTAAGACGGGAAATAATTAGTACAGAAAGATTAACACACTTTTAAGAACATTTTGCTCAGCTCACCGTTTTATTTTCAAGTGTCAAAAGTTCATTAAAGGTAGGACTGGTTGATTAATCACAGCCTTTACAGTAAATAATCTAGTATAAACAGTAATATACACATTTAAGTACATTTTGCTCAGTGTATTTTTTATGTGTCAAACGTTTATTGAAAGGAATGATTGATTTATCAGTGTTTACAAGAAACAATGTGTTCAGAAAAGTAATACAAACTGTCAAGCACATTATGCTCTGTTTGGTTTTGTTAATGACTTTGTTCTGTACTGGAGCCTACTATTACTGTTATCTATTGAATATTAAAATGTGCTTGAACAATTTTATCATTTCTTAATACTGTTTGTACTGGAAGAGAGAATGGGAGGGGGTCGTCAAAAATTTTACTGGTAAAAAGGTTGGGAACCACTGGTGTAGACGACAGCGGCGTCCTGACCAATCACAAGCTTGCGTTGTCCGTCTTGACTGACGGATGTTTAGAAAAGAGAGCTCGACTCCGTCCGTCCTTGCGGAGGTCTCCGGCAGACACGCAAGGATGGTGCGTGTCTCCGCACTGACGCAGATGGAGAAGCATGAATCAGGCTTTAGAATTGTCACGGCCGAAGCAGCGAGTACTGGCGGGGGCTTTCGGGTTGTGGGAACCAAGCCTGAAGGTTTAGCTGAGCGGTGCTTTGGCGCATTTAGTCCCTTTTTCAGTATCATGATGCTTATTTCCTGTTCTTCACTCGGCATCGTTCGTGAGTGTGAGACGAAGAGGCTGGTTCACCTATTTCCTGCAACAGCAGCAGGGATTTACTGTAAAAGGACAACTTCTCCTCTTAAAACAAAACATGTTCTGAAGGAACAAACTTTGCAGAGTTAGTGAATCAAAGGAAACATGGAAACACATCATTGTTTGTGTTTTTGTGAGGAAAAACATCCAGGTGATCCAGCTTGGTATTAAAATCTGGACTGAGGTAAAAATAAGTCTCTGCAGCCGTAGCAGAACATCAGCAGGTTCTGTTCAGTGGACCAGAGGTGTCTCCTTAATGTTATGGTGCTGTAGCACCTAGAGGAACCAGGTGTGGGCCTGGAGAGGACCGAATTGGATGTCTTCCAGGTTTATAGGCTGTTCCAGGAAATAGGAAGGTTTTAGCACTGACCAGTCCTCTCACCTGATTGGGTCTGGTTCTACAGGTACAGTAGGGACATGTCTCCTCCACAGCTCGTCCCTGTTCTGATGCTTCTGCCTTCTAAAAGCTTTGTTTGAGACTCAGTCTGAGTGCTTTTGTCTGTTAGGTCAAACAGAACCAGAACCTGCTCACCCTGTTGAGGAAACACAACATTGAAGTCTCTGACTGATCCTGGACCAGTCCTCTTGGACATGTGTTATATTGAGTCTTCTCTCAGCAACGTCTGCAGAAGAACCGGCTGATCCACTCTTCATGGACTGTGAAACCCAACGGAACCAGAATGCTGTTTTAATAAAAGATGTACATAACTGATAAACAACATGTTTATTATTAAATATGAATTTAGAAACTACTATAGAAAATCACATAATATACAGAACACAGCGGTCTCCGAGGGGAACCCAGGGGGGGCTTTCAAACAAATGGATAGAAAAAGTCAAACGGAAGTTTTGCGTTGAAGGTGGGAGTGGCTCTGAGTCCAGGGACAGCAGGAGCAGAGACCGGGATGAAGGACACGGAGCTTCTGATCGGATACACGGCACTGCCTCCAGACAACACATCCTGAAAGAGAGACAACCCAGCTAAGGACAAGGACACGTTCCCAGAGGACTTAGACAAGCCCGCTGAGGACAGACTGACGAGCTAACAGCTAGGTAAACCAAGGGTGTTTCTCAATGTCAAAGAACCCCGCTTTGATGTCGTGGTCCCACCCTGGTTGCCTAGGAGATATGCCATCAGGAACCGCCATGGTGTGTTCCAATGGTCATGGGCTTCCAAAGTGTTTGTCCTTAGTTTGTTAGCCGTTTAGCTAAATGACCAACATGGGAGGTGTCTTGTTGCCCTCTTGGTCAAAAATGTATCTGAATACAGCGCGGTACTTTCAAAAGCATGGCAGATCAGAAGCTGGCAGCTACTTTGGGGGCAAATTTCAAGTTTAAATACAAGTCAACTAATTGTAGCTATCATCCAAAATGTTTTTTAGATCCCATCTATGGTTGGTTAGTGGCTTGGTAGTTTCGGCTTCGGTGGCCAGTGGGTACTAACTTGCTTATATAAATAATTTAAGCAATATATACACGATTTAAAAAGTTAAAGTCCCTCATACACTTATACTGAAACTTATACAAATAAAATATAACTTTACCTCGTGAGTTAAGCCTGTTCTATTGAACTGTTTTCTTTGACCAAGGAAGGACGGTGTCCTCGTAAGCAAGGCGCCTTTGAGAAAACCCCAGGCGTTCCTTAACCCCGGCTTTCCAATGGAAAAATCAGCGGAGTCTAATGGTTTACTCGCGACTTTCATTGCCTGCTGGGAGAATCTCAGCCGCGGAACAGCTTCTCTGCTATTCTCGCTTTATAACTCGCAACAAAACAACATCCCTCAAGTTTATGCTATCCACCATTAAACAAAAAAGAAGGAAATCATATTTGATATTGCTGTTTGATGTCATAAGATGTTGTTCCTCTCTACTGCCAGGAATAAAGCTGCGAGTAAATAAGCTGTTAGGTCACTTGTATTGATGTAATCTACATAGATCTGAATCTGTCACTTCAATAATCTTATTTTGACAATTACCGGGGGTTTACACTGAAACTGTGTGTCATTTTCTGTCTAGCCCTAGGTTAACTGCAAAAATTGTCATGTCCCGGAAGATTTCTGCATAGCAGCTGGTTTGAATCACCCCCACAGACTACAGTGGGTTCTGATTTGAAAGAGTGACGTTCCGCTGCCGTTGATGCTTCCATTGTAAAGTAGGGGCTAACACCAGCTTAGAATCAGACTGTTTTATAAATGTCCAGTAGCATCCCACACATGATCCAGCCACCATCGTTCTGATGGAAAAACCCTCCGACGCTAGACTGATTGGGATGAAAACAATGCTAAAATGTTTTCATTCATTGCTGAGACACTTGAGATGAGAGTATTTTAGGGTGTCCGTCAGCGTGACCCATCTGTTTCTTCCTTTCAACACAACCCTAGACTTTTTACAAGTCCCCACTGGCTCCCGTTGAAAAGCACTAAGTTCAATCTTAACAAGTGAGGTAATTCATAAATAACCCCACACTGGGATCAAACCTGACCTGAGGCCGTCCAACCGCCGGTGCCGAAACAGACTTAGAAATTTACTTTCTATGGGGCAACGGTGGCAGAGGACTTAAGTACCCGTCCCGTAACCAGAGGGTTGCAGGTTCACGCCCGCTCAGTCTGTCGGGAGTCCTTGTGTCCTTGAGCAAGACATTTCACCCTCCTTGCCTGCTGGTGGTGGTCAGGGGAATCAGTGGTGTCTGTGTACAGAAGCCTCGCCTTTTTCAGGGTAGCGAGGCAGCAGGCAGAAAGTTCTGGAACAACAAGTGACTCCACCCCATAGCCAATTAGTGGCCAACAGTCATGGTCACAAAGTCGCCATTTCCTGTTTGATTCCCCCTTTTCAGTACTTACTGTCTTCCATGTGGATCTAAGAACACCGAAGCAGGCCGAAAACACAACATCGTCTTAGGTGTGGAATCTAGTTGCTCTAGAGTTTTCCGCCTCGCTGCCGTTTCCGTTGTAACAGAATGAAATGACTGTTTTCCACCAAAAGTCATTTTCCCCTCTCCTCTGACACAGAACTAGTCTGCATGAGATATGGCCTCAAGGTCTCATGCATTTGTTATAAAATTGCTTCTTTCCAGCTCAACAGAAGAATGAAGAATGGACTCTCTCCTTTTAATAAATTAAAGAACTCTATTTTAATAAACCTAATCACGCAAAGTGTTAGTCAATAAATAAGAGGTGACCAATCTGTGAAATCAAAATATTAATTACTTTATTATAATCCTATAGAATATAAAAGTAATATGACTTTAATTGTTCCAACAGGACTGATTTCACGTAGCGTTAAAAGACATGACACATTACTTTTACTGATCCAATCAGAATCTGCCAAATCTGACGGAGGCGTGGTTTTGGTAAATCTCTGAACTTTTCATTCGACCAAACACTAAAACATCCGAAGTATAAAACTATGCCCACGCCATCTTTAACGCCAGTTCAAAGCGTTCTAGAGAAGTTGTCGGAGTGGCCAATCCGTAACGTTCCTCTTCAGCCAAAAGAACCAACGACAAGCTGGATAAAATCTGTTGCTGTTACAACTACTACAACGGTTCCTTTCAGAATAAAAGCTGAACCATCATGACCCAGGTTTGGGTCTCACCAGATGCCAATAAAATTGTCGTGACCCGGGAGTATCTCAAGACTGGTGGTCGGCTGCCGTGGCTGCTTCTACAGGCTTCAGCTCCATAAGGTCAAGCTGGACCTCTACACCTCCTGATCTAGACGGGACTTCCGCTCAGGGTACGTAGACCGGCAAATGGCGTCAAATGTGTTTATGAATCTCCTAACCAAAGCTTAGCGCGAAGACATCACCTTCAGTTCCCATCAGAACTAATCGCTTCTTCGGATTTGCTGGTTCTGAGCAACATTACACCTCACCCCATTCACCTTAGTTACACCATACATTTAGTGTTTAAGTTAGTCTAGTTTTAATTTGTTTAGTAATAAATCTTTAAACTTTTAAAACCTGACTCTCTCTTCTGTTGTCTCTGAGTGAATATGAAGCGGTTATCTAATCCCTGCAATTAAAAGTTCCAATCTTGTTAAAATAACCCAACAGATCCATAAGGTTGATTTCATATTTCCTATGGAATCCTACGTCTTATGGCTTATTAAATAAAATGTAATTTAAATCATTACACCGTGTTCAGAGTCTGACAAAAAGCTAGAGACTAAGCAGAATGTTCGTCACTAGCGTATCTGCCATTGTGTTACGTTTTTGTGTCACATTTCACCTCATGCTACTTTTGTGTCGGGCAAAGATCAGCTTGTGGATGATGAGCTCACCTACTAGAGCTGTTTTTCAGTTTCAATAGTCGAGCAGACTTTTACCTGCACGAGTCGTGGGAATGGGGCTTTAGTTAGTGAGACCTTTACAGACAAATTAACCATGTGGAGGAAGGACACGAGTCTGGTAAAGTAGGTATGTTCTCTTTTCTTTTCCTCATCACTTTCCAGAAAAACCAGTGTTCCATAAAAGCAGAAGTCTTACCAAACTGCTGGTGTTGATCTGGATAACTTCTTTGATACTGACAATCTTAGCTTGGGGGTTCCCCAGGGTTCCATATTTGGTCCATTCGATATCTAAATGGAGTGACAGTGGTATGCTGCAACCTTGTGCTTCCTGAAAATGACAAGCAGAATATTGGGCAGTGAATTTAACAGAATAACGTCCCAACTATTATATCCATAATTCGTCTACCCCCCCCCCCCCCCCCTCAAAATAGTCTGACTTTTTATGTGTAATCATGACAACCACACAAGAGAACTATTGTATTTTAATGTTTTACAAAAGTCTTTTCTTACTGTTTGAGGGTTAACCTGACCTCACCGTAGAACTGGTGTCAGTCTCGATCTGCACCCAGTCCAGGGAACGGTCTAATGAGCAGTTTCCAAAGGAAGCAACGTCCTGAGGATAGTTAGGTCCTCTCAGAACATCTAGAAGAAGCTGTGACACCAAAGAGCAGTTGGCTATGTCATCCAGTCTGAAAGGACAAGATATGTCACCATCAGGACCCGAGTCATAAATCCACTCATTAGGATGGACGTGTGAGGGAACTGCCTTAATGTGCAGCCTGACGTTGACTCCAGACCAAACAGGACAGGAGAGCGCTGGTGTGGACCCAGCAGACAGTCCTGGTTTTCTGCACTGGTGAGCAGAGACAATGTTTCCCTGGGGTTGATGCTTCTGGTGATCCCAGTGGAAGAAGTGGTTAAGGTGGACATCTCACTTCCAAGAGAACATACCAGCATCACTGGTCAGTTGTGGAAAGAAAAACCTGTTCAAGAGCTACATCTTGCCCCACCATGGTCCACACTTTAGGCTTTAAAAACAAATCCTCACATTTATATCAGGACTTGGATATTTTTAAAACGTCTACATTTTTGTTTCACCAAAATTATTTCTACCTCAGCTGGGTCATTTTCTCATGTTGTCTCTGTTCTCCAGAGACTCTGGCTATAACTATGTTGAGGGTCTGACCTCATGAGGAAATTACTATGCAGTGATTTTCTCTAAAATGACTGTGCTTAAATTGCTCTGAAAAGCAAATAATCACATCAGCGCCAAGAAACTTCATTTCCCATGATGCTTTGCACACGGAAGCATTGGGTGATGTTACCGCCTAGTACCAGAAACACGTTCTGCGCATGTGCGGGAAGCCGTGGAGCTTTCCCCGCGAACTAAGACCATAAATCTTCAGCAGAGACAAAGAAACCTCGTTCTTTTGCCCAGGATACCTGGCGGTGAGGACACGCTTGTCGAACGCTCCGACTTCTTTGAGCACGCGGAAGCTCTAAGAGCCAAGTTGAGCCCACGGGACCGCTGATCTGCTCGTTTCTGCTCCCCTCCAGCTGATGTTTGAGGACACAGAACCAGCGAAGGGAAACAACAACTCCATCCAGCTCTCAGAAACGCTGTAAGTTGTCAAACTCAGCCCAAAAGGAACTTCGTTTTCTTTGTGTCCAGCCGTGGAGAAACACTCGTGGAGCCAAACAACGGAGAAAGCATCAAACCGGCGGATGACGCTGAAAACTGCGGAGAAACACGGAGAACCGTCAAATCAAAAGGGGGAGGGACGCCTCGCTCTTTTGGTGATCAGAAAACTCATTTTTCTCTCATTCTTTTCTTCTCCCGTTTCCTCTATAGTCCAGAATAAGCAATAAAACCGCGCTATTGCTTAAAAAAAGTAGCTTCGTGTTTTCCTCTTTCGTTCCAAATTCGTCCTTCGGGTCATTTTGAAAGAATAAACTGCTTATTAATCATTGTTTGGTATCTTTAAATGTTCGGCCATGGCCAGGCTGATAAACTAAGGATATTAACTCGTGATTAATCTTTTGTGTTGTTGCATGATCCTTTGAAATGTTTTGAGTGATTTAAGGTTAAGTTACTACTGATTCTAAGTGCTTTGGAAGTTAAAGTGCAAGTTGCCACCCACACTTTAGCCAGACAAAGGAGTCAGCCATCTTGTATTCAAGACTCCATTTTGAATCCATACACACGCACACACACTACTCCTTTGTGAGAACAAAGGACCCCATTCATACATCCTACATACACACAAAACACCTTGAACATTATTTTGAATATACATCCTTTTATTATATCACATGGTTATTATTCATTTATGCCACTGTTTATTCATTTGACAAATTGTTAATTAAACGTTATAAAATTCAGATTTTCGTCTCCAGTAGCTTTGTTGTGTCGAAGAGAAGTCTCTGCTCCAAGGATTCTACGAACTTCAAGAAAGACTGATAAGAGTTTTGGATTCAATTTTTCCCCGGTTAAAGGGGAATGGTGCCCCGTATATCTAAGAATATCTTAATTAATTAATAAATCAGTAAATATTTACATATTTACAGAATTTATTGAAGAATCCAAAAGTAAGTTAACGCTTACGAATTGTTCGCTCCTAATAACCCCAACATTTTATTGGTGCCCCGTGTGAGGCTTGGATACACAGAGATTTCTATCCGGCACAAACAAACAAATAAATCCAAAGAGCTTGAATTAAAAATAATCCGTTGTTCAGCCTTGAACCAGCAACAGAGTGGTGCTGATTTCGCTGAGCAGGAAGCTGCATCGAACTCTCACCAGTAACTCAGTGCTTCTTTAAAGGTGCAACGTGTAAATTAATTCTGGTTGACCTTTTAGGTTAAAAATTCAGTTTTTCCTTAAAGGTGCAACGTGTAATTAATTCTGGCTAACCTTTTAGGTTAAAATTCAGCTTTTCCTTAAAGGTGCAACGTGTAATTAATTCTGGCTAACCTTTTAGGTTAAAATTCAGTTTTTCCTTAAAGGTGCAACGTGTAATTAATTCTGGCTAACCTTTTAGGTTAAAATTCAGTTCCTCATTAAAGGTGCAGCGTGTAAGTAATTCTGACTAACCCTTTTAGGCAAAAAAAAAAATTAACTGCTAATTTAGCAACTTTAACTCACAGTGGCTATTATAACTAACTGAAACCTTCACTCAAAGACTGATAACACCTTGTTTGCTAATATTCTGAAGGAATAACTAGCATATTTAACACTGCAAGTGTTGTAAGACGTTGCTACGGCAACGCACCAGCTTTTGCTAAAATACTGAAAGGAATAGTATTTTAAGCGTCAGTCACGGCATTCCGTGCAATCTTAAAACGCTAAAACCTGTGCGCACAAAGGTTAATTTAGTGTTTTTCTGCTACAAAGCTAGCAGTTGCTGCCAAAGGTGCAGCCTTGAGCTATCTGCAGAAGCTCTACTAGGCTATTTTTGGTTCGGTTGTTAAAAATGGAGGGACAGAGTAGTGAACTGACCAACTCCCAGCAACCAGGTGGCGCTGCGGCCCACGACTATGAACCTGGCCTACTTTCTGGACAAATATTGTCCAAACTGGTCGCGGTTGCTCGAGAACCCGACTACCCTTCTAGGGATTTCACTGAAGAACAGCGTAGCGTCGAGCTAGAAGCTGTAATTGATCAAATAGAAAACCCGGATGGTACAAAACCAATCCAGGTTCACTTAGCTAAGTTAGCCCTGATCCTCTATCAGAGAGAACTCCAACGTGGTCAGAAGATCATGAACCTCCAGAGTATGCTAGCTGAAAAACAGCGAAATGGAAGGCTGATCGAGGAAGACGACACCCGCACCGATTCTGGGGAAGATGGGGAGGAGACCCCGCCCCCCTCTGCTGATGACAACAGACAGTGGGAAGGGGGGAAACACCAGGACTCTCTGGACGGACGCACGCCGCAGGGGAGAGATGAAGCTCATCTGTTCCAACCTTCGGCCCCCTTTCCCTACACACACTATAGGGCATTCAGGACCACCTAGGGGCCGAGAGCAGTTCGCCCTCGAATCCCAGGTTGGACCACCACCCTCATCTTCACGGCCTTCTCAATCAGTGAGAAGTCGACCAGCTGAGCGGCACCTCTATTTAGACCGCTCCCCCAGTCCACAAAGGGTGCAAGGTGCCGATTGGGGTTATGCACCCCAAGCTGCACCTCAACCATCCACCCATCCTAGCTACTCCGGTATTCGGCATGCCGGTAACCAGCTGCAGGACAAAGCATCATACGCCAGTCCGTATCCGGACAAAGTGTATTACGCAGAAGCCCCAGTTGAAAGACGCAGGCTGCACTACGCAGACGTGCCCCGGGAGGAGGACCTCCCAAGACACCCACGTGACGTGCCAGCAGCCCGCCACAGCATGCCGAACCCTGATTTGGGCCCCAGGAGTCAACATTGGGAGCCCAGAGCACACCAGCGATATCCAGCGCACTCTGAGACAGACCGTGGGTCAGAGTCAGAGGATGACGCGCCGTACCGTGAGTCAGGGCTCCGTGTACGTCAAATTGAATCGCTAGCTAAAGATATAGAACGCTTTGATCCTAACACCAATGAATCCAATGTCGACGATTATCTCAGGGAGATAGAACGTTGTCTGCTTGATCTTCCAGCACCCTCTTCAAGGGAAAAGCTCAAGCTAATTTGGAAAACCACATCTAGAACGGTGCACGGTTTCATGGAAACTCTACCATCTGACATTCGAGATCGGTACTCCTCGCTCTGCCGAGCGTTGAGAGATGAATACGCCACGTATGCAGACTCTGCGTCAGCTACAATGGGGGCCTTCTCCATCAAACACGGGAGGAACGAACCCCCCAGAGAGTATTATCGCCGACTCAAAAGTGCTTATTTCCAAGGTCGAAACGGCCCTGGGCTCGAGGAAGACCCTGCCTTCAGATCCCTGTTCATTCACAACCTGCACGAGTGTGTTCGCTCCGAAGTCTCAATGTATTGTCGGATGAAAAAACTGACAACTCAGGAGATTAGGAGATACGCTCAACAGGCTTGGGAAGCCGGCGGAAAGCCCCAAAAGCCTGACGCACATCACCGCGTCATGCACCTAGCTCCCGACGCTGAGCCGCGTTTGGAGCTCGAAGGCACAGAAGCTCCACCCACTAAGCCAAAATCTGCTAAACCTAGACCTGTTAAACCGCGAGAGCAGTCCCAATCTCCTCAACAGGGGAAGGGGGGTGCTGATTGGCCGCCTAGGTCTGGACAATCAGACAGGAAGTGGCCCAACCAAAACCAACGGCAGGCAGGTCGGAACAGTGGAAGGTTTAAGGAGCGCCGCCCACAGGTAGGTCCCGAACACAAGTCCGCAGGTGAGTACTTGACCAAAGCCGACCTCCAGGAGATGTTTCAGCAGTTCCTAGCTAAACAGAAGGAACAGCTGAGATCTGCAGATGAGACCCCTGCACCAAAGTCTTCTTCTAAGAAGCCAGACCCAGAGCCAACGTCAGCATGACTAGGCGTGGCTCAACCTCCCAGCGTGGCCAGGACCTACCTGATCAGCTGGGGGAACACTACTGGTAGATCACAGGAGTCTCCTGAAATCTACCCCCCAGAGAAACCTGATACTAAATTTCTGAAGTTCCTTGGTGACTTAACAAACCATGATCATGCTCGCCGTTTGTACTGTAGCACCAACGTAGGTGGATGCATACAGGTTGATGCTCTGCTGGATACCGGCTCAGAAATCACCCTGATGTGCTCCACATTGTTCCATCGCGTGTCTGACACCATGCGGTCGCTCGGGAAACCAGTCCAGGTTGAACCTTGTGACCTGAAAATCACCAGCTACACCCAGACCCGGGAGTGTATCACTCACCGGGCGTGGCTGGACATCACCTTTCAAGACATGACTCTGGTTCAC